TTCCATCAAAAATTATGTGACAAACACACAACACGTGTACTTATATCTTTAAGAAATTCCAATAAGTAAGCTACAACTCCAAAGACAATAGTATTAGTTTTTCAAAAAGTTTGAAGAGTAGAACATAGATTCAAAAAAGAATAAGGGAGAAAGAGATTCAAAAATGACAAAAGTTATTAGTAAAACAATCAATTAAAGATTAAAGTGATTAAAGTATCTCAAAAGTCTTCCTTCCTCCATCTTCAAATTCCAAAAGGTTAAAAACAAATTATTTAAGGGGGAAAACAATATTAGGCCACTATGGTATTCATTTGAAAAAACCTCAAAATTGATGTAAATTCTGATTATTAATTTTTTATTTCTTTTCTTTTGTTAACAACTTGGTTTAGTTATTTCACTAATCACCATATTTTTGTTTTCACCAAATTCATTTCTAGTTAATATGTCGCACAATGGAGGAGGTGGATGTCTCGCATTAATATTCCGTATGCCGTATGAATGTTGGAGTTCACATTGGATTCTTCTAATAGTCAAATCATCATAGTTTAAAAAATCATAGTTTAAAAAAAAAATCATAGTTCTAACCCCAAGTTAGGTTTTAATACATGAACTTAAAAATAGTAATAAATAAGTTAAAATCTTTTTATCACTTTACTTTATAATCTACAAATAACTATAATAAAAACTAAAAAGCGAAGCTAGTGGAATGATTGTCCCCTAAATCTCGATATAAACATTGACTTTTCTAAAACGTATATAGTAATCGTTTTAGAAACATTACAGGAAATAAGTTAATCTTATACTCTTTAATCAACTTATTCACATCCAAATATGTGTATTGTATGCACACGTAGACACGTGCACGTGGCATGTGCAGAGAATGTGAAGGAAGTGTTGACAAAGAAGAAAAAGATGATCCAAGTTTCAAAATGATTTCCAAAAGTTATGACTATAAGTCGTGACCAAAAAAAGGTTATGGCTATAAGCCAAACATGAACTTCAACTACACTCGTTGGATCATTTTCTCACATTAAAGCCGCTCTACACTTCTACCCATTTATAACTAAACATAGGTGTGTGATATTACGGATTTTACACGCTACCTGCAATATGATAAAACAACTAAAAGATTCTGTATTGATCCACAAAACAAAACAAAAAATATTAGTTACACAATTATGTGGAATCATGAATTTTTTGTTTCGCCATTCCGTCGTTCTAACTTTTATTATTATTTTGATGACGCTAACACAAACCACTACATTATATATTCAGATTATTTTGTGAGCTTCTAATTAATTTTTGTTATACTTTTAAGATTTTACCATCCTAATCCCATAATGAATACAATTAAAAAGAAATGATATATGTGGGCAATATTTAAGCCATTGCACTTGTTTTTGTCGGTCTACAAATGTTATTATCGAAAAAGTMGGTTTTGTTTTACGTCAAACTTAATTAAAAAAAAAATTACTAAAATTGTTGCAAAACTATCTAAATCATAAAACATGGCCAGTTGTCCAACTGCTTTTTCGATTTTTTTTTATGGGTTGTTTTCCATTTTTTAAAAATATAGAAATTTTAATTTTTTTTATTAAAATTTAGAGTGTTTTTTGCAATTTTTGCACTATGTTGGTTTGGCAATTGGACCGGATCTGTCATTAAACAATGCAAGAAAGTGATATGACGTAGCCAAGAGAAGACAAGAAAAGAGAGAATTTGTTTTACAATACATTTACACCAATCAAGTTAAAAACCATTTATTCTGTTTAATTCTTAAGATAAAACAAAGAAAAAGAGGGGAATTTTTCATTCAATATTTTTGAGATAAAAATATTTTTCTACCAACCTGAGTTTTTCCTCTTTCTTCTTAACTTAATTTTTCTTCTCAATTCTATTTGTTACAAAATAGAAGAAAATAAAGAGGTATTTAAAAGAAAAATAAATCTACCTTGTTTTTGAAGAAAAAATAATTTTTTTTTAGTTACTTTTTGATCTTTTTAGTATAAATTTTTTTTTGATTGGTATAAGTGAAGAATAA